GCTAAAGAGCTTTGTGGACAAGAATTTTATTGGGCCTTGCTACTCATTGCTTTTACGATGCATTTTCATGGTTTTTGTTGCTTTCCTTCAAAGAAAGGTGGATTTATAGTAATCTTTGTTAAGATCGGATTTTTAATTAGAAGTATTAAGTACTACATAGCGAAAATAAGGGCTTAGATAATAAAATGAATTACGAGACTAATTTCCCAGTGGGGATGACGTATAATTAAGTCTACAGGGCTTACTATCCGCAGGCATTAAAGTTTTCGGAAAGCTTTGATTATTAATAATTAATATAGTACATTTTTAAACTTGAGATATATAGTTACTCTTGAAATTTCCTAAAATATGGCACAAAAAATAAAAAACACACTCAAATTTTAGAAACTCTAATTGCAAGATTGATGTTAGAATTCCTTTCTGTGTTTAAAGAAGATTGGGAGCATGCAAGGAAGCTCTTTTATTACTACGAGAAAGTTTTAAATCTGTAACAACTGTTTTAAAGAACGGGGCACTAGTGTTTCTAATGATCAAATTACAAGAATTTTGTAAATATTCAAATCTGACTCTGAGATGAATATTTGTTTTTAACAGTAAATTAACTCTAGAGATCGATCATATTGTCAGACTTATAAATAATAATAAATTTTGTTTAACAATTCATATTTATTATTTATGTAGTCTTTCCCATTTTAAGAAAAGTAAAAGTCCTTAAAGTTCGTAAAATATTCAAGGACCTTCGAGAAACTTATGAAGGTTTATCTGTGAAACAACGGAAATTAACATACTAATTTCTAATATACTTTTTACGTTGTTTGACGTGGCAGCGATGATTCGTTAAAATTACATGCAATTGCTTTATCAAAGAATAAAAAGAAATCAGCAAAATATATATTTACTAATATATGTATAAACTAAACTACTGTGTTACTAAAATATGTACTTACTAATTGTTTTTGTCTAAAAGTACTAATTTCTTCAACATGATCCAGTTTTATATTTTTTATATAAACGAGTGTATTTTGATTGCTATTTTCATTTCATGCACTCAGTTTCTTTTTTAATTAAGCTTGCCAAATGTTGACTTAATATATCTTAATATATTACATTTTGCTAATATATTTATCTTAATATATTTCATCATTTTGCGAGTACAATTTCTCGTTAAAGCATTATTAAATACGTTTCTTTATCCTGGGTTGATTTATAATAATTCATAACGTTGTTTTGTCAGGACAATCTTTGCATGGATAACTTAGCTATCTGTTTGCTAATTCAAAATTTATCACATTTAACACTGCTGCAGAAAAGTAACATATATTTTTTCTGTAGCTCCTTATGCAGTTTAAATGTTTTCTATTTGTGAATAACATAAATACTTATAAATTTAAATATTTTTTTATATTTTCGATCCCTGTGTTTTCTATTTCATTTTAACTTACAGTATATGATGTTTTGTTAAAAGCATAGATGAATTAATATGACCGTCATCTTGAATGTATATGTGGACACATTAAGCGTAATACCTTTAAATGACTTAAGGGCAACAACATTCAAGCTATATGGGAAAAATTGTAGGAGAAGTTTTGGTAAGATCTCAACACTTATGTCACGCGATACGCTGAGGACTTGAAACATTTCATTCTGTATCGATTTCCGGTATGCACGTTTAACTCTGTTTCATTACAATCACTTTCAGTAATTAAAACTGAATTGAACTTGCAAATGATTTAATCAGTTCACTAATTCTTTGTCCTTGTCTGAGGGTCATATAAAAGTTAATCCTTCCTAACTCTCATTAATATGTTACTTTAGTAATGAAAAGTGACAGCAACTTTTATAACAGATTTTTAGAAATAAAGCGAATCTTAAAAAAGTCAATAACATCTCAGTTTTCAAGTCTGTCATTTGGCAGGCAGCCAAAGAATTCCAGACGTCGTATTTTTTCATTAGAAGTAACATATTCTGCTTTTAGTATTCTGTATGAGGCTCTTTGTCTGCTGTAAAACAAGAATAGGCATTCTTAATGCAAATTCTTATTTAATAATTTATATAAAACTGAAAATATTCAACAGAAGACTCAGTTAAGAATTAATTATGCCCAATTTTTTATTACAGAGCATAAAAGGATGGTAGCTGAATACAGATATATTTTCAATTTAAGAGTATCATTTCGCCTGCAGACCAATCAGTTGATTTTATAACTTATGAACAAAATCATTTGTTACAATATTCTTTACTTCCGTACCCCTAAATGGTCTTGAACACGGCCCACGGAAAAGCTTAGGAAAGTGATTTTTTATTCAGCTGGAGACATGGGAGCATATTTGATCTTGTCTAAGTAACGACAGTAATTAAACCAGGATAATCCCTTACAGAGTGAAGTATATGATTTCTTTATGGAAAAAATACGCATATGTACACTTTGCACCAAAAAAAAAAAAAAAAAAAAAAAAAAAAAAAAGGTGGGGAGAGGCAGTTTTACTTGCGTTTTCCACGTCTCGAAAGTGCACTTACGACATATATTACATTTGTAAATAGCATTATTCTAACACAGGCATTTTGACACAAAATCTGGCTTTTTATGAAATAACATACCAGTTTTTTCCATATTTCGATTTTACGACTCTTATTATGCCTAGATATTAAAATTTGTAATTTTTAGTGATAATTTTATGGAAAAAAAGTTAAAACTTTATCTTGGCGCAAATGTTTCAGTTTGCGCCCAGAAAAATAATTTACTTGGCAAACTTCTTAATTTATAGCAGCATATTTTCCTTTCCCTTTTTTCATTGTACTCGAGCGGAAGAAAAGGTCATCGTTCATACTTTCAAATGATTTTATCAAAGTGCGTAAACTACATTTGGCGTTATTACCGCTTGTAACGAATACGGCAAACTTAAAACGCTCCAAAAATATAAATTCACGTATCTCTTAGGAAATTTTAAATAAAAAAATTAATTTTTTGGAGGTATGCTTAGAAATACATCTACTTTAAGATAATGGTAAAACTTTTATAGGAATTCGAACTTTTTTTCGAAAAATTTAAAAAAATGATTTAAAGATACAAATTTTAAAAATAAATCATAAAAAATGGCGAATTTTATTTGGAATGAACCTAAATTTTGAAATGTGAAAGGAAGAATCAAATAAGTTTAATAAAAAAGAGAGGAATTACTAAATATATACGAAATTCAACTAACATAGAGGAGCTAAAGTTTTGAAAGCTAATTATTTGAACACTACTCATGCGATTTTTACAAAACTTGGCACTTTGTCATAATTTGAGTCGTAGAATCGAAATACAGAAAAAAATTGGTATGTTATTTCAGAATTGTCCAATTTTGTGTCAGAATACCTATGTTAGAATAATGCTATATATTAATCTAATATATATTCTAAGTCGCGATGTCGAGACATGGAAAACGCAAGTTAAATTTCGAGAATCGGTCCAGTAGAACGGAAGATATAGAACTGTCCACCCCCTTTTTTTTAAATGTGTTCTCACAATAGGCCCGGCGGCGCAGTGGCTAGTGCGTCACGTAGCGGGGCTCGATCCCCGGGCTGGGCAAGTTTGACTCAGCGTGGCATCCCTGGAGTGGGTCGATAAAATGACTACCAAGTTCTCTTGGGGTCTAAATACCGGGGCTCCTGCGACAAGCTAACCACTTGTCCAGACAAAGATGCACAAGCATCCCGGATTGCTAATCCCGGATTGCTCCCGGACACAAGCATTGCTAATTATAAGATTATTAAAATCTACTTTTGAATACTGAATCAGTTTTAAATGCGTAAATAAAAAAAGAAAATCTTATTTCATTTCAATTTTTATTTTATCTTCCTACAATATACAAAAGGAAAACATTGTGAATTTCAAATTCCTTTTAAGTCTGGTTTCAATAAATTTGATAGTTTTATTTCAGTTGTCAAAACCCAAGTTAAACTCTTAAAACATTAAGTAAAAGTATTTTAACTACACATAGTAAAGGGAAAAAGATTTATATTCAGTGTGGAATCTTCTTATCAGTTCTTAAAAATGTCTCGATAAAAACCTAAAGTAATTCTTGATGTCTACATTTTTTAAAGCACGCACGAAATTTGATATATACTTTACAATTATAAAAAAATAGATTATAAGGCATATTTGATTTAAAACTGTTTTATTCACCTCGAATTATATAATAACTGCTTTCATAGTTTAAATATGTTTCTGAAATACGTTAACACAGTGTATCTATAATGGTGTATATAAATGAAAAATGTTTGCCCAAGCGTTATCTAAATGCTTTTTAAGAGCTTTTACAGAAAACATTTAATAATATATTATTTCAATTAAATATTAATTTCATTTCTACAGTAGTATATGATCCAATGCACGTTAAATATTGCTATTTATACTTCTTAATTAGAGTGTTGTTTTGCTAATTTTTAGCATCACATTGTAACAAGCATGGTAGATCTTATAAATGTTTACTGATTTATTTTTTACAAATTATGATTATGGATACAGATTGAGAACAGCTTATACTTGAATTAAATACTAAGGTTATCTTAAATTTTCTTATATATATAAAACACAGAATCGCATTCATTTTTATTAAAAATACTTTCTGCATCATATACGATTTGCTAAACATATGAAAATATATCTCCTAATAACATATGTTTGGTATCATTTGACGCCATAGGACCAAACTTTGGTTCCATAATATATTGGACGTTACAGTTTCGTTTCTGCATATTTCATATTTATTTGCCTTATGATTTAACTAATCTTTCATCAAAGACTGCCATTTCTCTAAAGCAATCCAGATTCTATAAAGAAGTGTATTTGATATAATAAATAAAAGAAACAAATTAAAACTTGTTGTAGATTAATAGCGATAAAAGACAAAATTGATGTAATGAACTTCAATTTAGTTTGTTCCAAATTTTTTAATCATTAGTTTTAGGAATTTCATTAACATGATTTGATGTATCACCTAATTATTTTATTCTAGGGATCCAAACATCACACCGCACCAGGAATTGGAGATCTTGCAGTCTGATAAATCCAGAAGCCGTTATGAGAAGTCTGTTTGGTCTCAATATGAGACTGTGCAGCAAAAATATCTTTTTATTGGTAAATATTATATTAATATTCAAACAAGCTGAATTTTTCAAGAGTATTATCATTCGCTTGTCGGGAAATTGTAGTTTTATAATTGATATAATGCCTTCCGACTGTAAAAATAAATTCTAAAGTTTTGCATATATCGTCATCTCAAATTTGAAAGTGACAAGCTTGTAAAACAGAATTCAAAACATTGTATTATACTGATTGTTCTGCATTCTCTTTAGACGACTGGGTATACTGAGGCTTCCGAATAAAAATCTTGATATTTTTTTTCTGCCTGGGTAATTATTAAGAAAAAATGAATACTCAACTTTCATTTTTCGAATAACAAAATTTATTTTTACTTGAGATAATTTTTCATACTTAACTTAAACCGAGATATATTTTTAGCTTTCCCGCGCATTCGCAAAAAGCAGGTTTGAGAAATGCCACCTACACTGCGCATAAATGGGAAAATTGTACAGCTGGTTTCTCTTTGAGAAATCGCATTTGAACATTGGTTGTTTGTTGAATTTTAGTGTTATGCCTCGTGTAAAAGAGAGAAACGTTTACCAATACGTGCAGGGATTCGACGCAGGAGGATCCTGGCATATGGGGACCGCAGTTTATCGTTTCGCGACATTGTTACTCATGTTGGTCAGGATCCCATGTTTATATGAAATCGACAGGTCAAGACCGTCCATACTGAACGCCATACAGGATCACAGTGGCTTGGGACACTAACGCCCATGAGGAAGGGCACGTTATCCTTTCGGCCTTGTTATCCTTTCGGCCAGGACACGCACACTGTTTCAGGAACTCAGCTCGTGTGCAGGACTCAAGTGTCCGCACGGCAAGGCGCACATACAATGGTGCTAGAACGTCAAATTTCGAAACAAGAATGGGACAATGTCGTCTTTTCAGATAAATCCCAGTTCTGAGTACAGCATTAAAGATGTAACCGTATGTGGAGACACTAAATAGAACGGTGGAGACGTCAATTAAAACGAATGTTGCCAGTTTGCATTCATCATCGTAATACAGATCCAGCAACTGGCATGCTGGTTGGGGGTAGCATTAGGTACAAATCTAAGTCACGTTTTGATCGCATAGCCGTTACTATAGGTCCCTACATTTCTGAAGTGAAGCCCAGTAACTGTGCCTTATCTTTGATGCGTGATTGATGATAATTTCAACAGGAAAACGCACGTGTTACCCATTCCGACTTTTCTTGATGCAGAGAATGTTTGAATGTTGACCTGGGCAACACGTTCTCCTGATCTCTCATCCTCTAAGAACAACTGGTCATAAGTTGAGAGACTGGCATGCCACACCTAGCCATCCACTATAGTTGATGAAATCTTGCATGGTTTTGAAGCTGCGTGGAATAACGTATCTGTAAATAGTATCCAACTCTAGTTCGGCTTGTTGCCAGTCCTGATTACATCGTTTTTACTGCCAGAGGCGGCAGCTCTGTGCACTGAATTTCGCACGCTGTGTACAGCAAATTTCCTTCAAATTTTAAACATATCTTCCTCTCACTACACTGTATATGTATACGAATACAATACGCTTTCATTTTCGTGAATGAAAATAAATTGTTTCACAACTATAATCTTATCAGCTAATAAAAAAACAAAACCCATCGGTAACTGCGTACTTAACTAGCAAAAGATGTTTGCAGCTAACTAACTAAGAAAACCGTTCGTATTTCTGTTCTACATTTTTCTGGCTTATAAAGCTTACAGGAGTTAGAAAGTAATTTACCGTACATTTTTTTCTTCAGGTAATATATCAGAAATTATGTATGCGTAATTTATCACAGTTATAAACCTCTCTAAACAGTGAACAATATTCTGTGTGGTATATATTAAAAGTGATTTAGTTCTCAAATGTCTTTGATTTCTAAAAACGTTAACGGCCATTGCTTAATGTTTCAGATAATCAATTACCTAGCGCTGTTCAGAAAAGTCTTGTAAGGAAAACTATTCTAGGACGGATTTACACGTGTAACATAATCTGATTAACCGAAATCAGCTCATTATCACTTCGTGTAGAGTCATTCTCACTGAAGATATTTCTTAGAGCCAGAGCTAATTAGATGAGAATTCTTACTGAGGAAGTTTTATGTACCTAACATGATTCCATTACCTTTAACGAGTTCTTGATCAACCAAATCATGATCATTTTCTCCATTAGATGATTTACTTCTCTAAATCATGTGATATTTAAAGAAGAAAATAATACTTTTCTGGAATGCATTTTGATGAAGTTCGACTTCAATTACTTTGCAGCCACTGCTGAAATTTCAAGTTTCATAAATTTTCTAAACCCCATGTACAGATAACATGGCGATGCAAGCTGAACCTTTTATTTCAGTATCATTATTTTGAACTTAAATTATTTAAGTGCTTATAGTAATAATACGAAATTATGCATCTCAGATAAGATATTAAGATCCATATCCAATCATTAAATGGTTACCATTGTCTAGCCATAAAATCTTTCTTTAAAGTAAATGAAGATTGTATATTCAGTGGGTACAAATATTATTCTTTCGTAAATTAGATGACCTGTTAAAATTATAACATTGCGTTTCTGTAGGTCTGCTCATTGCTGCTAGTGCTATCAGACCAAATAAGTGTTTCTGTAAAAGAGAAAATTATTTACTGATTTTTGCCTGTACCAAATTTAAAATTAAAATTTGTAACTTTCAGACATTAGTATATCAAAATGTTTAATTCTGTTGTTTTGTTGTTGTGAATAATCTCACTTGTCTGACCTCATCAGAACAAGCCCACGAAATTCAGCATGGCAAGGAGTACAAGATTACGCCTGTCGCTGACTAGAGCTTTGGGCACCAAATAGGTGACAGTGTGATTTTGCCCAATTTTACTCCAATTTTTGAGGGAAAGTACCCACCCTTCTTTCCTCATCACCAAACCACACGAGAGGACTTTCGGCTCGCCATATATTTAGAGTGCCCTCATGCCACAAAGACACTATATCTTTACAAACCTCCATGCCTTCTCCGGAATTCGAAGGGACAGTAGTCAGAATCACTAACCATTATTCCATTAACTACTATCCCATTTGGGTGGCATATTTAATTCTTCCCACGAAAAAGCAAATTTACAAAATTTTGCAATTTATTGTAAGCCTCAAGTTGTATTCATTTTTTTCCTTTTCTTAAACTAAATAATCAAATCAACATGTGAGATATAATTATCCTCTTTATTTAATTAAAATTGGCTCTTAAATAAGACTTCGATGTTAATGTAAAAGCGCTCAAGTACAAAGGATATATCATTTGACACTGTGACCGAATTGCTATTGTTTGTTATGTCCACCAAATTAATCTCAATTTTTCCACACTGACAAAAATCGAGATTATGTCTTAAGCATGTAAAATACTATACTTGTGGATGCGTAACAATTAGAAAAAGACCAGTCCTATGCAGAGATTGTTTACAGCCATATGGAAACTCGTTTTAGAGTTCTGGAGAATAATGAGGAATTGTCCATTATGTACGTGAATATGTAATATTCAAAAATATTCCTTAGTATATAAATTTTCCGAAAACAAAAAAGTGAATAAAGCACATAGCAATAATACGTAGATAAATAACAATAAAATTGATTTTTAAATCTTTTTTTTTTCTATATTTAAAGTAGTCTTACTGGTAAAGAAAATCCTTCAGTAATTTTGACTAAACTTCATTTAATCTTGCAGGAATAAAACCAAAGGTTCGAGATCATTACAGAGCACATCGACTCTCATTCTGGCTGAATCTCATACCTCAGTTGCATCGTCCTGGTACAGTATCAGTCATTCCGCAGCATCATTTACTAGACGATCACAATAATCCTCTTTCCTATGACGGTGTTGTACGACCACTGTCTGACGAAGATGAAATATCTGCGACGCTGTCGAGTACGTTAGTTTCTTCCACTCTACGCCCCACAGCTTCAAAAAATGCTACTTTGATTAATGTTATGTCTACAACTGAAGCATCGCAGAAGGTTTTTAAGAAGAAGCCTGGGCCTACTTCTGAGACTGTTTCTAACCACACGGGAACTCGCTCTGTCTTGATTCATCAAAGTTCCTATTCTACTGCTCTAAGCGTCACCATTGCTGTTGGCTGCTCCCTATTGATTCTTAATATTCTTATCTTCGCTGGCGTCTATTATCAACGAGATAAGAATAGGATGGAAATGAAGTTGCAGAAACGAAACTATAAGGTAAATTTAGTAACCAATATTTTACATTATAACGTTTTTTTATTTATTTTAAGATTCTTAATTTTTATGAATATGTTTTCTTGCGTTAGTAAGAAAGAATTCTTAGAACTTGATTCTTAAAAGATGAAGCTAAGTTTTGATTATCAGTACGATCATATATTGCTATATACTATCAACAAAGATAGCAAATTTTACATTAGGAAAAATCGTTTTCTTTTTATCTAAATGTATCACACTAATTTAAATATAATTTCATTAAAATATTGCCTTTATTTCTATGAAACGGGAGTGCAAAATTCCTTTAAAAGCTCGCATTTGTGCCTTCTCAGTGTTTAACAGGGAATTCTTTATTTGCCATGCGATATTTTTGTCAGAATCTCTCCATCAGCTGATCAGAGCCATTCTATACAAGAATTCAAATGGCTCCACAGATTTCTCTTAAATAAGAAACACCGTTTCACTTCAGTTAAGGTTGAGTGCGTGAATCCTGTCAGACGTTTTGAACGACATTGAATTTATCTTTCCCAGTTTTCTGAAAAATATCAATTTGAATGAGAAAAAGAGCACAAAGTAAAATATATAATGTTGTACACAATTAATTCTGTACTTCAAAATACAGTGATCCTATAAGGTATTCTCTTCCTCCTTTCTGCATGCCTTCGTGGTGTAATGGCCAGCACACTTGGTGCGTATTCGAAAGGTCCGAGGTTCGATTAACGGCGAGGGCACTGAACATTTTTCATGTCTCCTTCAAAATAACCTAATGTCTCTCTACAGTGGCGCCCGAACTAAAAAGGGTGGTAGATGATGATACTCCACCACCAGGATTTGGAGATTGTGTTCCCTAATCCCTAGTCGCCCTTTAAAAGGGGGATTCGTCCGTCTTCTTAGTATGCCTTTGTGGTGAAATGGTGAGCACATTCTGCGGGTATTCTAGAGATCCGAGGTTCGAGTCCCGGAGAGGGCATTGCTCATTTTTCATGTCTCCTGCTTCGAAATAAACTCATGCCTCTACAATGCTTTTTATTCTTTAAATTTAGTTTGTTAGTAACACATAATTTCTTCCTAAATTTAAATAAATCATTTGTTGATAAATTATGATAATACGTTTAGAAGTATTAATATAATGAAACTGTAATTGTAATTGTAACTCTGCTAAAGAAACAGGATAAAACGTGCAAAATATTGAACTAATGCTAACACGTTTCACTTGGACTGTTACTACCTGTAAGTTTGAATATGAAACATTGTCTGAGATAGCACCATAAGTTAAATATATTTTCAGGAATTAGCCTTACGAAGGTGTGAGTAGGAGAAATCTCCTTTCAACACTCAGTTGAGTTTTAAGTGACCACTTCTGTACAGTGTCGATAAGAAATTGTGACATTAAAATGAGTTATTAAGTTGCCTGTGTTTACTATCGTGCTACCACGATAGCAAACCGTTTCCATCTAACATGTCCATGTCCAGCTAACATGTGGAAGAGGCGTGGCAGAAATTCCAGCGAAGGCATAGACGATATTTCATGTTTCTTGCTCCAAAGATTTATAATTTCCATAACTTAGTTGGAAACCATCAGTTCAATTACAATGTTCTTCTGATTTTATTATACGCATTGTTTGAGAATCTTTCATATAAGAAACAAATGTTCGCTTAATTTTGGGTATGTTCTGTTTGAAATTGATTTTATAGTTCATATATTTGCTTCGTTCATTTAGTGCTCATGTATTTAAAATCGTTGATATAATTGCTTCTAAAAATCTTCTGGTAATTGCAAAGTTAATAGGGCTCATATTTTACAGTTTACCGATATGTATTATTTACTAGATAAAATTTCAAGAATTATTACAATAAAATTTTATTTTGTGAGTACAGAGTTTAGAAATTTTAAATTTTTGCAACAGTTACATTATCTAGTCTTAGTGGCTGCTATGTCTGATATCCTTCTGGCCAGACGAATTTTCTTTAACTTCCGTAAAAATTTTTAATTTACTGTCCACATATTTCGGATCATGTAGCGGAGTACATGACCGATGGTCTTCAGTATACATGCATTACATTCTCAGTTTAGATATCCAGTATTTTTTCGGAGCAAACTTTCTAGAACTACTTCCTCTAGCTAGAAATAAATAAATATATGAGTAAAGTCGAATACATATGTACTTTAAAATATGAATTCTGATATATTTTGTATTTGATAGTGACGTTTACTTCCCTGAATAATCCCAAATATTTAGAGTTAACGAAAGACTGTCTTACTGTTTTGTATGAAAGAGTAAGATGATCTTTCGTTTCTTATCATTTTATACGGAATGGTAAGACACTAAAGTAGATTTTACGAAAATGATTCTGAGCAATGGAATTTTATTCCAATAGGAGAAATATAGTTTATGAAATATAAAGTCCAACTTCTTAGAAAAGCTAGAACGAAGAATTCTGGTCTTCGTCCTTACTCTATGGGTACAAATCAATACAAAAAGACTTGCTTCCTATGCAGTTGATTCTTTAGCTATTTTTCTGTGTTATTCAAATTTTCTTATGTTTAAACAAAAAGAAAAGACGATAAAATAGAAATCGTACTTTATCGAGAAAACAGTTTGGAGAATCTGAAGGGAAAAATTTAATTTATTATTTTCATGCATATTTTCTATACAGAAGCCTGTTTCTAGGCTATTATTTTGTTCAAAATCTGGCTAGCCGTCACGTTTCGGATTAATGCTGCATTTTGACGTTATATTTTTCAAGAAAAACTACTTTTAACATTGCTCTAGATATTTCATTTCATGAAATTTTCAGCTCAGAATAAACGTTTGTATTATTTCAAAGGGCAGCGAATTTGAATAACTTTATCTTACAAGAATAATCACAGAAGTGGTACACATTTTTTGAACGGCTAATAATAATAACTCAGACTTTCTTGACCTTTATGTGCTCTTTTTCACTGTTGATGCACTGGCCTCCATATGACAAAAAATCTAGAGAACACTAACTCAGAAATCGTTGCAGCTGCCCACAATTTTTGTTGTAGAGATACTATAAAACGACTTGAAAACTATTTGAAATATTTTCATAGTAGGATGTCAACGAAATAAAAAATGCATTTGGTTCAAGTTGAGATTTCCATGGCATCCACGGTGGTGCTTGAAAAATTTGATTGAATGTAATTTATTGTCGTTCTTAACAGAAGTTCTTGAAATTCAACAAAATATATATATGGGCATTTCACGTAAAATATCATACATACAGTAAGTGAAACATGTACATGAGGAAGTTATTTATGATTCATAACATGAGCAGTTTAAAAGAAAGGTAATCAATCTTTCCTGATTAATCATCAAGACCATCAGAAATCTAAATGCTTTTCTGATATTTTTTATTATTTGCTGTTTCAAAATTCGTTCTCCCCAAAAGGTACATACTTGTTTTCCATTATTTATCTGGGTATCAGTTAGAAACTCTGAAATATTTTATCATATAAGATTAGTCAAAGTTTTAACTGTTCTGCTATTTTCTATTGAATTTTTATCTAGGAAAAAATAAACATTTGATTTACTCTTTAGGTAAAGCACTTACGAGAAATCTAAGTTTTAGGAATTGAGTTCAGGCGGAAGCATAGAAGTGATTTATAATTTATTTAAAATTATTCGGCAATGTTAGAAAGGTTTATTTTGAATTGCATTAATTAGTTAATTTTCTGTTTCCATGTTCTTATTTTTCTGAATCACACTAAACTTCTCAGAATTATGCAAATTATGTATTATAAAAGAAGTGGATGAAACATGGCTGAAATTTATGGCAAGTACAGATATTGATAATAGCCCAAAGGACAATTCTGTGGCATCGGACATCAGATCTCCATATATATAGTTCTTATATGCTATTCATCCAGAGTTGTAGTACTCAAGCATTACTTTAGGAACAGACATTTTATTTCCTGTTTGCTATGTTTTAAAGCTCAATAAATCCACGCGGTATTGTGAATTGGGGTATTTACTTTTATGTTTGCTAATTGGAACAGAATTGGTACAGACATGAAAGTTCTAGAACTGCTTAATGTGGGTCGTCTTCCGTTTTCCAGATATTTCTTTCAAGAACCCCCTTTCATGTTGATTTTCTTCTTTCTGAGGGGCCCATTCTTATTAAGTAATGTTTTATATGTTATGGCTTCTCACGGAGGTGGTCTGCAGTGAAAGTTTCGAAAAGGATTAGGTCCCAAATGGTTGGGTTCCTAAAATAATTCCGAAAATGGGTTTAGATCCTAAAAATGATTAGCATACTTCTTTCTTCACAAACGTCCGCCAGCGGCAGAGCGGTAAAATTCCTGAACACGGTAGTTCCGACCTGGGTTTGATTCCAGGCAAATGGGCTGGCTGCAAGTGTTTTTTTCATGTTTTTCACCATGTGTAACGTGTATACGAGCCTGTTTCCTTTGAAAATCCTCAACGAAGACTTTCCTTAGGCAGATATCCCTACTGTGCTTTGCCGTAATCTCAATATGACTTGTAAGGTATTGGTTGATACAAAAATTAATGTACTGCATAGAACCATCAACTGAGAGAATGAACTCCTGAATATGTCTCCTTGAAGTATCCCACTCAGCTTGCCACGAATATTCTAGGGAAGAATTAATAACATATTTTGTATGCCACTTTGGCTGCTGAGTATTATCCTGAACAGCATTTTCACCTTAGCAGCGTGTCTGGCGAAAGAAGCCGCTTGTTTGTTGTCCTCTCCATATAGATTTGGATTCAGTTGAGATATATTTTCAGATCATTGTTATTCCACGACAAGTTGTATTTTTGTTTCATTTTTTGTGAGGATTTATTTAGGATTTACTATGGCACAGGCAATAGAGAGTTTAGCTGCAAGGACATTAAGTTCAGAACTTTTTATAGAATCGGTGAAACTAATCACTTCCTGTCGTTAGCTCTGCTTGAATATATTTCATTCATGTCCAGTTTCGTCTCATTCTAGTAAAACTTCAGCTTAGGCAACATCGA